TTGTTGGGTTTTGAGCTCGTCCAGCACGCTATAAAACGAGTGATATCTGCTAATGCAGTTAAGGTCCTCCAGTCAAAAATTCTTTCCTAATGTCAGAAGAGAAAATCTCATTTGCGGATAGAAATATGCAACTTTGTATGCTCTTTCCAGCCAGCAGTGGGATAACGCTTGATAGTATTAGATAAGGTCAGATTTCGCTGTTCTGGCACCCCTAAAAACGCTTCAATTCAGAACTTATGGCTGAAGAAAAACCTTGTTGGAGCGGCAGGGAGTCTTTACAGACCTTTAGTAGGACCATCGATTGCATATAGTCAAGCCTTCCCGATTTTAAATCATGCATAAAGTGGGCGGACCTGTACGGAAGTATCCCTGTGGCAACCTGACTACAAAGCTTACGTAATATTCAACGCAATGATAATGTTATTCTGCATTTTACTGTGATGAATCTAATGAACCCTCATATCTCTCTAAGATGGTGCCACATGAGATGTTGGGTTTGCCTTTTGCAGATGCTCTGGTTCGCAGTTTGTGCGTTTTTATATGAAATATACAAACAGAACCTGAAACATTATGCTTTCGGATAATAAAAGACGTTAGGACAGATACATCTCATTAGTGGAAGCATTTTACATTAACTTTAGGTGAAAATCCGAACAGGGATGAATATTATCGTGCATGTTGATCAACTTATTAGTGTTTTCTCAGCAAATTTACTCATTCTGGGTCCTGAGAACCAAATTTTGTGGTAGCAATCAACATATTATATAACGTTTTTTACAGTTGAAATTCATTTGACGTTTAACAGAATGGATGGAACAAAACTAAATTCAGTCATGTTTCTTTCTCCTGTATTGAGTTGTTAATTAAATGAAAAATGTATTATTTATAAACATACTAAACGACGTTTATTAGCGGTTGATAGTTTAGAAGCCATATTTTGAAAAAACACTGGTATAGCAGTTTGAAAATCCAATAAATACTGACTTGTTGGCACTGATTGACGGAGAATTCGATTATTTAAGTAATCACATGTAAAACCGGCACTGATGTAGAGATCATATCCAAGTATGTGATGTATAAGAATCAATTGATTTCGATATTGGTTCAATGGAACTGGCTGATTGATTCCGCCAAACGTGGACGCGAATTTGTACACATTTGATAAACGAGGAAGGTTCACACCGTTTTGACGATATATTTGAAGTATTTGAGTAAACAATTCTTGACCAAAAATGAAACCACCATAATCGACGATTTTAATTTGACCTTAACGAGCAAGCATATGCATTCAAAATGATACAGTGGGAATAGAATTTTGGGATTCAGAGTTGTAGATACCCTTTAGTACAGTATGATACGCTTTTGTATTGGCTTAATTAACGTACCAAAACATATTTCTCGTTCTCATGCAAGTTTAATATGTCTATTTTCGGACGCAAAATAACAGACATTTCGAGATCGGCATAGCATATTCAAATACAGCCTCTCAATTATCGACAACGGTTTAGTTGCTCCAACCTTCTGAGGAAGCTTTATCCGCCATCTAAAGCTGATCAACAATTACATCCAGGTGGTCATCCAAAAAAGTTTGAGTCTAACGCATTCTTATGCCCAATTCTTCTTTATAACAATAAAATAGTGGAATAACCGCCGCATGTTGCCGAAATAGTGTTCTCTTCCTTGGGCGTCGAAACAATACGGCAACATATAAACAGAATAGTCCCACAACAGAGTAAAGTTTATCCAATCTAGGTCAATCGGTATGTCCTCAAACTGAACTGGACTAGAAAAAATTTTAGAATGGATTTGCGTCGAGAAAAACCGATAGTTTTAGAACAAACTGATTTTTGTTTGCTCAAAACTATAAAAGAGCTATACGTATTTTTGACATGGAAAAGTACGTCGTGTACTGACAATACTTTTAAGTTTAAGCTTTTAAAACAAGAAAGCAAATATTGAGTCATTTTTTAGTCTGTGCGAAAACGAATTTTTATAAACCTTTTAAAAGTTACTGGACTTTCGCGAAATCGAGAAGTACAATACATCAGTTATAAGTAGTTTTTGATGGTCATTTCGATAGTCTGGTTGAGACCAAACTGCAGTTGTGGTACGTACTAAACCATGAAATCTGATTGGCTAAGTCAAAATAGACGTTTCTTACCAGTTTTTGTTTTGATAAATTGCAACTGGTGCTACGATCTTTACCGTAATGTATTTTCTTTTTAAAAAAATGTTCGTTAGAGTATCGAAATAATAAAAATATGTGAAGTGTATCTTGAATTTTGAGCAGTACGTTTTAACGAGACATGTTGAAACTGCTTAAACAATAGTCACAGGTGAATTCTTTGTTTTCTAAGTTTTAAAAATATCTTAGTCGGAATCAGCGCCCCAAACCACGTCGAATGATATATATTTCGAAACGTTTTGTTTATTTTTGGTGTGAATTTCAGGAATTTTTCAACGTAGAAATTCGAAAAATATCAAAGTAGTCGGATAGACTGGGAATGTTGATGTTATAATACGTAAGAATTTATGCACAGTAACAAGACGCGCATTTTGCAGTTGCGTTGCAAGTCTGTGTTCGAATACCAAGGAATGGAGACTCTTTTATGCTGTTTTCTACGGAAAAAAAATTCAAGTCGTGACTTGTGACTTGACTTGGAAACCCCGAGACTTGACTCTAAAACGTTTTCTCCAAAACTCTCGGAAGTTGAGTTTCTAGAAAACCGTGATTTTTTAGCTATAGGTGATGAAAAGAATGAGTTTTGGGAAAAACTGAGCGTTAGAAAAAGCTTTTGAATATGATATTCGGATATTTTTAAAAAAATTATTTTTTGATCATAGTTCATAGTTTCGATGTGAAGTGTATCTTGAATTTTGAGCAGTACGTTTTAACGAGACATGTTGAAACTGCTTAAACAATAGCCAGAGGTGAATTCTTTGTTTTCTAAGTTTTTCGTATTTTATCTATTTTCATTATTGGTACCGTTAATGTTCTTTATACAATGGAATTTATCTTAACTTTTTGATTGTATGTGTATGTTTTCTCTCATCTTTCAGCTGTGAAACCTAACTAGATGAATGCGTCTGGTCTGTTAGTTTTATCCTCCACTAGTGAATTCTTACCTGTATGTCGATTAATCATAACGTTTCTTCGATGTAAATCATTAAAATATATTAAGTCGTCATCCATATTACATGCAGTTGTTATGATATTACAAAATCCTTTGATGAGTACGTCGGATGATATCAAAAATTTTCCTAACGCATCGTCTATTGTAAACCAGTCGTTGCTATTTAAATACTCATAAACAACAAACATGTTTAGTGTAGGAAGTGTCATATCTATAAGAAACCGAGATATTCAATAAAACTAAGAATCTATGATGGGCAAAAAATAAATGTGTTTTCGTTTGTGACGCATTTCCAATAACTTTCCTTCAACATACAAGCGAGAAAGCGCTTATAAGAATGATGAATAGAACGGCGAAAATCATAGTAGTCAGCGACTTCTTCAGCATATTTTGTCTAAGTTTCTTTTATACTAGCTACGAGCTCGCTGACACCAGTTATGATGTGAAATGAATATAAATGCTTTAATTAATGTTACCTTTATAGTATCTTGTAATGACATCCCCATATCCTAATACCTCCATTACTCTTGGTGCATACGTGTCGATAATCATTATCAATTCTGTTTGTTGATTGCAGTAAATGAATCTTTGCGGCCGTAATATTACAACAAAACCAAAGTTTGGATCATAATATGCTTCAGGTGATACTAAATATCTCGCTAGTTGTGGATTAAGATTAATCGATGGTATTCTTCGAACACACACAATATACGTTGCACCACTACTAAAATAGTCAGCCGATGTCATCCAAGTATCAGGAATATATTTTACGACCACTGGATTCCCCAATGGTCGAAGAAAATCTTGAAATAGTATCACACCATTGTTGGAAGAAATCAGCCGATTGGTAGAGATAACATTGCCTTCTGGTAGAACTATTTGATTATCACGAAGTAGTTTTTCAATGTTTGCTGGTAGTATCAGTGCGACTGACGGTACTGCTGGTAACTAAAATTAACAAGATCAAACAAAATGACGCATGTTTCACAGATTGTATTGAATAGAAAAATCTTCAAGAAAGCCCGTTGTACTAAAAATGAAGCTTGGTAATACGGATTACACCACTCTGCTAATACTGCAGACATAAGTGTAGTCTCTCTGTCATCCTGTTGAAGAAAGAATGGAGATAGCAAAAAGAGACAAAACTAAGCAACAAATTTAGGCATGTTCTTCCATTTTTCAGTTTAAAAAGAGTCATAATAATTAGATGGACGATAACAAAAATCTCGCATTATTAATGTGTGCATGAATCAAATTTACCGCACTTAGTCTCTGAAAATTGTTGACTCGAAATGCTGAACATTGAACGTATTGGATTATGTATAATAAAAAAACAGTTTGGATACTCATAAATTATTGCCACAACTTCACGATTTTTGGCAGTGCACGAATTGTCGACATATTAATCCATTAACGATGCAGGATATTCAAATTCCTAGAACTATAAGGCAAAAAGTAGAATGTTAAACTCATTTCAAAATAGAAAAACGACAGCTATTTCAGAACAGAATAAATCTGATTTGGTGCTTATCTGTTTCGTTTCTATGTATTAACCACTAGCATTTATTTAGCTTGTGTACGGATAGCTATTAAACCTTTTTATTATATTCTATAATAATTTTCATTTTTCTTGCGCTTAAACGACAAACATATCTGTTTTATATAAAACGTAAGTTATATTATCTGATAAGACAGGTGAAAGAATGAATTAAAACACATGAGTTTTTGTTTCAGTCGTTCCATTAGTACTGTCAACTTGTGCATAGAAAAGGGCTTGATTTTCACCAACAAAAATTGAACAATACAGATAGGAACACGTGCCAAGTGAATAAGAATATCAGCATAGAGAAAAACTCCACACTTTTAGGGAATGAATAAGTTATTCCTAGTGAATATAACCCTAGTGAATGTACTTGCATGCAGGTACTTGATCAAGTGCCCTCACAAGGTTTGTCCAATGTTCTTGGGCTTTTTTGCAAATACTTTAACTTCTTGTCAAATCCTTTGCCAAGCGTTTGTCGTAGTAGCCTCCAAGTATCTGTGAGAGGTTCAACAAGTAAATCAAGTGCTAGGTGAATGCTTTCAGGCATTTACCAAGTAGTATTTTCTGAATATACTTATCAAGTGCTTGGCAAGTACTCATGGAAATGTGCAAGTAAGCAAGTATCCGCTCGCTAGGTATGCACCGGTATCGGTATACCGAATACCGAAAACACCGACTTTTTTTGACTTGGAATTTTTGGGATTTTTTCATTTGAAATGAGGTATTTTAGCATCCTGGGCAAGCAGAACGTATAAACAACACTCAGCTGTGTATTTTGAGCATGTGCAGATAGAAAAACTTTGGCTTTAGAAAGCAAACAAAGCTCTTGTTTTCCGTCCCTGATTCATTCTGGGTGTCCAGGACGCTAAAACATCTTATTTCAAATGAAAAAATTCAAAAAATTCCAAGTGAAAAAAGCAAGGGGGAAAGCACAGAATCCTGGAATCCTGAATTCCTCTGGATTCT